CGTTTGTCATATCTTATATATATATATATATATATATATATACCCCATGGCCCAAATGGAGGAGAACGAATGAATGGTTAGCATTGCACATTAGAAAATGTTTTTTGGGCACAAAATAGGGGTCTGATGGACCCCAAAATTTTCTCCCATGTTGGACTCATTTTGATGCTCCAATTAAAAAAAAACAAAATTGGACATGCATGAAAAATGTGGGGTAAAATATGTGGCAATCCAGGTCACCTCATTTCCTTCAATTCGGAGTCTCTGGCATCTATTATTCTATATGGCCGTTGGCTCACAAAATATATATGTATGTATGCATGTATAAGATTTTTCTATAGTTCACTTTTCTAATGGTGATGTTAGACTCCAAAAAAATATGACTATAAAATAACCTCTGTTTATGTTTCTCTTATTTTGAATATATGGGTAGTACAAGTCATTTTAGAACTCTTAGTAGGAAAATCATGGGGAGAGAATCTCAATAAAATTAAACTTCATTTCCACAGAGTACAGAAATTACCTATATTGAATAAAATTAGGAATCATACGTTTACTAGTGCATCAAACAATGAAATTAGAAATTACCTATATTGACTAAAATTTGAAGTAGCTGCTTTTACTAGTGCATCAAACAATGAAATGTTCTTCATGGGAGCCTCTTGCACATTCTGTTGAGAATCTACAATGTTTTACCTATGATTTGGTATGAGATCAAAATGGGAACTGTAATCTTCTTGTGGATTTTGTCCTATTTGAAATTTATATTTCTATTGTCCACTGCATTAGTTTGACTTTTACAGTTTTAAGGAAATAATTCAAGTATGGTCTGAGGCTTATTCTCTAGTTACAAACCAAGTTGAGATTTATGACTTGTTATGGGTGAGAGAAAAGTATGAGTTCCATGTAAGAGTGATTGTCTTGTTGGTGCAATGATATCGTTTTCCTTTCTTTCCTGACGCAAGTATTGTTTGTCAGTAATGCAGGCCTAAATGGTGACAAGGATGGAATTGATGACATGTACGTGGAGAATCTCCCCATAATTAATTATCATTCCTTCATGAAAAGGTCACCTGCAGAGAGATGGTCAAAATCAGATACAGAATTGTTCTTTAAGGTACTGTTACCATTGGTTCCTATTGTACATGTACTTCGAGTGCAAGAAAGCATGGTAATTTACCCATTCATGGACCTGGAATGGACTTTTAAAAGTGAAATGTGTGTTTGTGTGTGCATGAAAGGGAGAGAAAGAGTGTGTTTGAAGATGGACTAATTAGGAAGATTCTTATTGTTTCAGGGCATGAGGCAATTTGGGACAGATTTTGCTATGATACAGAAGCTCTTCCCTGGTAAGACTCGGCATCAAGTGAAACTCAAGTTCAAAAAGGAAGAGCGTGAACACCCCATGGAAGTTGCGGATGCTTTGTTCAACCGATCAAGTGGTAGAGTTATACCCATTTCAATATTATGTTTTAATAAGCTTTCCTGTTCTTTCATGGAACAGAGACCTTTTGCTGGAAAAAAAGAACGAAAAAAGAGTAGGGCTTCCCAAAAATTTTAAAACAGAAAAAAGAAGCAACCTTTGAAGTTGGGAAAGTTCGGGGGGAGGGTGCATCATTGAAGGAAATAAGAATCTGTCCTCCCCCCATTCTCTCTCTCTCTCTCTTTCTCTCACATATATACATAAATGAACATTTTCCTGTCTTAATTATGGTAACATCACAAAATTATGATCTTTCCGTCATTTTTTGACTTTCAGATCATACGCATTACCAAATGGTGATGGACAGGATCAAGGTTGAGGCTGCTGCTAAAGAGGCCGAAGCGGCTGAACTGAATGCTGAAAATGAGGTGATTTTTGCATTTTTCATTTAGTCTGATTTCCCTTCTTTGCTGGTCTTGGTAAAATGTGAAAAACCCTGGTCTCCATATTTCTTACTAGGAGGCCCAAAGGATCCCTCTTGATTCCATAGGAATGGCAAACAGATCCTTACACCATTGCTTCCAAAATCGAGAGAGAGAGAGAGATGTAATTCCAAAATTGAGAATATAGAAATTCAAAAAAGAAAGAAAAAGAGTAGTGGCCATTCCAAATATTGGGGGAATTATAAAAGGAAAATGTTTAGATAGGACTACAAAAGTATTAAAATAAGTAAAGCCTCACTACAAACCTCACCAAAAATTGTAGTTTTGGCGTCGGAAAACCTCCAAATCGATCATCTCGGGCTTGACCATTATGGTTGAACAAAAAAAAAAGATTTCAAGCCCTAAAAATAGTATATACCGTAATACATTATCTAGAGCGTCCATTTCACCCAAAAAATAAGTATTCACGGATCTACAAGATTTGTACCATATTTTGAGCCTCAAACTTCCTAGTTAGCGTTGGAAATTAAATTTTGAGCCATCATGGACATTTCCGATGTCCAAAGTGCTTTCGGGATGAGGATTCTAGGTGAGGCTTTACTGTGTTTTCATAAAGCCTGAGCCCTATAGAAACTGCATCTAGATGAAGTGTTGGATGATAGTTTTAGACCCTGGAGACTTTTCTTTTCTTTTTTTTCCATTGTGATGCAACTTTTGTATATCAAATAACAAAAAAGGAAAAAGAGGATCCCAAAAAGAACAGTTAGCAAATTCCACGTGTGCTACTTTCTGAGTAACACTTTCTGAAACTGCGGTAGTCCCTTGTCTTACCTCACTTCCTGCACGCAAACTGCTGATCAATCGCACACCAAGCATTGTATGTATATCTTGGTTGTTTTGAAATGCTTATGATATATGTAGGACAATGAGGAAATAGATCCCAAATCTGAAGGCTCCCATGAATGGAATCAAGCTGAGGACAGCTTTGAGCTCCACAAAGAAGATGTTGATGGTGAATAGGACGAAGATTTCTTTTGGCTCTCTCTCCAAAGTTGATGACCAGCAAGAAGAGGGAAGAAGATTGCTTCATTACTTAAGTCTTTTCCTTGAGGTAAACAATTTGAGGTACACATGTTTCCGATGCTGAGAAGCACGCTGTGGTACTGTTTTTAATGGGTTGTTGCTGTAATCGGCTCTTTGTTTTTTTCAATATATTTATATAGGCTTGTTTTTCACTTTTCGGAGGATCTTCTGCCATCTCTGTATCCTGCAGGGATTATTTAAACTAAATAAATGTGCATAAATTATGTTTCTTTTTTAGGATTCTTGTGTTATTACTGTAATCAGTTCCTTTTGTTTTCAATATATTTATAGGGAAAGGTCTAGGATTCTTGTGTTATTACTGTAATCAGTTCCTTTTGTTTTCAATATATTTATAGGGAAAGGTTTCTATGCTTCCCCTACAGCATAGAAGTTCGATCCTCCCCTTACGAGCCAGCTGTCCAATTTTAATCAAGAGAGCTATTTACCTTTTCATTTTTAGATCCGGCATCTCAAAGTATTTTATTTTTAATTTTTTTATACAAATTGTATGAATATGAATTTGGTACGTGCCATCTTCTCATTAGGGTGTATCTATAAAAAATATTACAAATACTTTTTTGATAATATATAACAATCAAAATACCTCTTGAAACTTTCAGGAGTATTTTGATCATTTTATTTTATTGAAAATATTTTTTTTATATTTTTTGCTAGTGCAAGTTTAATAGAAAAATGGACATCCAAAATTTGGTGTCAAAATAGTTTATAGAAAAAAAAAATTAAAATTAAAATAATGTAGAGAGGTGACATTGTGATTGGGGCAATCTTCGCCCTCCATTCAAAATGGAGGGTTGGATAAAAGGGCGGATAGAATTTCTATGCTATAGGGGAAGCATAGAAAGCTTGCCCATATTTATATATCGATCGCTTCTGCAATATTTTTAATATGCAGGGATTCTTTAAGCTAAATAAATGAGCTCAAATTATGTTTCTTTTCTAGGCTTCTTGAAGCAAGCAAACAAGATTACATTTATGGCATTAATCATCCAAATCATCCACTATATTTATGAATGAGTGGATAATGTACCGAAGATTGGAGCAAAGCAACACTGCTGTTTTTTTAATCCATGTTACAATATTGCTAGGCTTCTTGAAGCAAACAAGATGCGATTACATTTATGGTATTAATCATCCAATATATCCACGAATGATTGAATAATGTACCCAAAGTTGGAGCAAAGCAGCACCGCTGTCTTAAGCTATGTTACTGTAAAAAACAGTTTCAGTTTAAAAACAGGAACACAGATTGATTTCAAAATCCCAAATTGATCCTAAGAAATCTATCATCTCTGGTAATTGACATCAAAGCAAAACATACATTGGCTTATGACAGTAAGACACTCGAAGGGTATTCAGGCCCCTTCTTAACAATGCACTCCCAAGTATCATCAGAGGTCCCTTCTTAACAATGCACTCTTAAGTATTATCAGACTACAAGTAGACCGACCATATGGGATTATTTGCACTATAAGTACTATCAGACTACAAGTAGACCGACCATATGGGATTATTTACACTATAAGTATTATCAGACTACAAGTAGACCGACCATATGGGATTATTTCCCTAAAATTCATTTCAAACCGGACGTCATTCACGAAATCATAAAAGCATATGAATTATCTTCCAGAGCATTATTTGCAATTACCAAAGTCTCATACAGTCCACAAACAAATGACCACAACTTAAAAACACATTCACATAATTCTAGTCCATAAAATCTGCATAAGCAAATAATATAGCTGGTGACTTTAGATCTGCAAATGTTCAGCACCATTCTTGATGCTCCCTCCAAGCAAAGACAGCAACCCACCACCATGCACCCTCCCTTCAGGAATCACCAAAGCTCGGGTCCTCAAGTTACAGGAGCTTCCACCACTCCCCTCCTCTCTCTCTTTCTCCGAACCCACCAAGCTCGAAGCCTTCATTGAGAGAGGAACCAACACTTGAGGTGGTATGAGGGGCCGCCTCACCACCATTTCTGATGAACCTTCACATGTATCAACCGCCACCTCAGAAGCAAAATGTGTACTTGAGAGCGTGCTTGAAGACTCATTATCCCCCAAAACAAGATCACAAAACAATCCCGGTCCAATCCCCACACCCACCTTGCTAGATTTTGGGTCTTGAAGCAAACTCCCATGAGCAGCACATAACCCACTTTTTCCCCTTGAAAATTTATCACATGAGCCCATACCCTCGTGCACTGAGCCCTCACGCCCATAAGTGCACCTCTTTCCACCACCATGAGCCTTGCAAAAGTCGGTGCTTCCCTGTGCGCTCTTTGTACACCCTGGAGCAGCACACCGCTTCCCTCCTCCATGCCTCACACAAAAGTCAGTGCGCCCACGAGCACTTTTTGTACACCCTGGAGAAGCACATCGCTTTCCCCCACCATGTGCCACACAAAAGCTCGTCCCACCATGCACGCTCTTTGGGCATACACCACCCCCCTCAAATGCACACCTCCTCCCCCCTCCATGCCCTTTGCAAAGGGGCGTGCTCCCCTCCGCTCCTCTCGTGCAACCTGCAAATATACACCGCCTGCCCCCACCATGGGCTTTACAATGCATTGTGCTCCCTTGAGCCCCTTTTGTGCACCCAGGCATCTGACACCTTCGTCCACCACCATGCGAGATACACAATCCTGCTTGGCCCTCAGCACTTCGAGTACACCCTTCGAATTGACACCGCTTGCCACCTCCATGACGTATACACAACCCTGACTTTCCACGTGCCGCCTTGGTGCACCCACCAGGGTGTGAACACCGTCGGCCTCCACCATGGCCTATACAATAGTCAGTACGCCCTTCTGCACTCTTGGTGCACCCAAGTGTTTGGCACCTCCGACCACCTCCGTGAGCCTTGCAATAGACTGTTCGGCTCTCGGCACCCTTGGTGCACCCAGGCTTTTGGCACCTTTGTCCACCACCGTGTCCTATACACAACCCAGATGCTCCTCTCGCTCCCTTTGCGCACCCCTCGAATTTGCACTTCTTGGGATGGAAGCGGTAATCAGAGGGTCCACTGGACCCAAGGCCCAAGGAACCCTCGGTAGTGACTGAGGGCTCAGGGCTCAGTCTATAGAGGCCTGAGAGCTCAATGTTCTCTCGAATGTTCGTGCAAGACTGAGTTTTGAGAAGAGATTGCATGTATCCTGCTGATTGCCTTCGAGCTGCTGAGGTCGAGCCCTCATCATCGATATGAACTAGGTCTGTCTTTTCTGCCGGTGTCTCAAATAACCCATGTGAGAGACCGAGCTTTAGAATGTCAAAATCATTTTCATGGGCCTTGGAGTTATTTAAACACTTATCCATACTTCGGTCTGAAATTCGTGGTGTCAAGTCCTTGCTGCTTCGAATGGGATAACCATCACTGGGATTTGTGCTCATTGCAGGGCCGAGTCCAAGGACTAGTCGGCACCCATCATCAGACAATGGGCATGAAAGCGGGTTCTCGAAAGGGCCGTGATGTTTGGGTTTACTCAACCAAGGAATGTCTAACCGCAAGGTCGTATCTCCAAAGTGATCAGTGGGGCTACCATGGGAGAGATGCATGGTTCCTTCGAATGGGTTGTTGATAATTTTAGTGTTTTCGGGAAGGTAAAGATCGGATACGTTGAGATCCATTCTAGGAAAATACCAATCAATCTGATAGTCTGAGATAACACTATAAGCAGCAAGCAAATTGGAAAAATATGAGGAGCTTAAATATAGGGCATCCCCCACTCACAAAACCAGATGTATCCGACCTGTCCATATTGCTAAACTTGATAATCAATGAACTTTTTCTGAAAGATTTACGGAAATTTGGTCATATCTGACAACATTTCTAGGATAGAAGCCTCTTAAAAGGAAAGATAAGATCCACACAATTGTACAGCATTCCCCACCCTTGGCTGAAAGGTCCTCAAGCTTCATTAATCCTGCATTAGCAAATAAAAGAAAATCTCAGAAAAAAGTCATTGAATGTCACTTAATCGTTCTCACACTTTACAAATAGTTAATAACTGTTATGGCTCAACTAAACATAAATTACAATTGTTACTCCCAAGAGGAGTTAGCCATGGAAAGTTGTGTTATCATCGGTCTAAGATCAGGATAAAAAACTACAAAAGCTTTTGATGTAGAAAACTAGGACTGTAAAAACTTGCCATTCTCATGATAATCCATTCTCACAACGATCCAGAATAAGGAACTAATAGGCTTCTGATGAAGAAAACTGGGACTGTATAATTAAAAAAAAAACAAACTTTTGTACTAATAAACTTCTGATGTAGAAGACTACAGCTGTGAAAATAAAAACAACTTCTAGGACTGTAAAGGAAAGCTCTACTGCGTTGATTATTAATTATATAATGCAACCAAAGTGGAAGCTGGATCCCAGGCACAAGTTAATAACGCATATTAAGGCAGGTCATGGTTACAATTCACATCCCAATCACAGTAGAATGCTATCAATGCCAAAATTGACTATATTTTTAATAAGAAGAAAATTCTTATGAAAATGGTGGCAGGCGAGTAATTTATGGTTATTGTTGCAAATTTTTTATTATAGGCAAGTGAAACAAGTAATTGTTTCACTTGATTATTAGATGACAAAAGTTTTCAAAACTCACCAACCACTGCAAATTTTGATAGTTCTTTGGAGGAAACCATCAAACAGACTTCCTCTGTGGCCAATTAATGAATAGTTTTGCAAATCAATCATTAGAAAGAATTGATTAAGCCACTATAAGGTGGAACATCTAAGAAATCAAGTAAACTTTCTCAAAAAAAATTCTAAGAAACTGAACCTTTTTTTTTTTTTGAAACTGTTCACTTAGAAAACTGAACTTTCAGAAACCCATAGAACATTCTATGCATTGAATCAAAAGCTGAAATAAACTTCAAATTTCCTATTTTTTCACAAAAACCAATACACAGCCATGATTATGCATTGAATTGTAAATTAACTCCAAATCCCCTACTTTTTCAATCAAATCATATACATAAATCTATAACAATGAATACACAAATACGGTATAGTTGCAGAACCACTAAAAAGCATTGAATCACTGATATTCATTCCAACACAGATAACAAACAGTTTTCAGGTCATACCTGTTAAAGACAACTATCCAATTGTACAGAACAAATAGAACAAAGAAAACAAACAAAAAGAAGACAGCTTGATTTACTACCGCGATTATAATCGCAGACACAAACCAGGCAATCATCCACGAATACCAAAACCATTAAAAATCCCAGATTCTTACCCCCAAAACACCAAAAAGCCAAGGCTACATAATCATCCTTTGCTAGAAGAGAAACCCATTTCTTTCCTCAAACCATCCCGAGAAGAAAAAAAACAGACTATATTCAACCCCAATGCCATCACACATAGAAACCATCCATTGCTCTAGAAACCATTAACAAAAAAAACCAATCCAGGGACCCCCAAAATCTCATCTTTCACACAAAAAATTAACAGAGCACAGTGCATGAAGAACCTGGAAGATATTTACGAGATCCGGAGGCATTCCATCGAAGAGAGACCAAAAGGCGCAAAATTCAAGAAAAAGCTTCAATCTTTTTCTCTTTTCTTGGTCGATTTCGAGCTAAATTGAGTATGAAAGCGAAGAACAGAGAAGAAGAAGAAAATATTAGGGTTAGGGTTAACCAGGAAAGGGAAATAGAAAGAGAAAGAGCATGGCTTTTTCTCTGTATTTTTTGGTTGGTTGTAAACGTTTTGGCGCAAAGAGAGAGGAAATATAAGAAGATGTCTGCTGAAGTGGCAAAAGCCGTCATTAGCAGGGCTTCCGCTCTCGGCTCACGCGCCGGCTCGTTTGGACCCACCGGCTTCTCTTTTTCTCTTTCCGCCAATGTTTTCTGGAAGCATCACTGAAAAGGCTTTGAAGACGACCGTGATGAAGATGGGCAAAAGTGGCAATCCGCAGGGCAGCGGAACTCGAACCTAACTTCTAGTTAGACTAGGGTAAAAATTTGAAATTGAGCATGTCTTGGGCCTTGCTTAGCCCTAATCACCATAAGGGTTGGCCTTGGCCAAATAAAAGCAATAAAATAATGACAATGATTTCATGTAACGGTTGTATCATAGTATCATGCAACGACATTTTTAAAAATCATGCTTGTGGTATTTGTATGATTCAAAATTTTGGACGCACACTCTCTTCATTATAATAATCAATCCCTCTAAAAAAAATATATTTCAATTTGAACCCTACGTATAGTCAAAATGAGTCCCCTCCAAACACGAATCTAGACCATTTATTTGATGAATTTTTAGATCTTAGCCTTTGTATACTCAAAATCATTTTTTTTCTTTTTTCACATTGTTCATCTAATGATAATAAAGCCATCAAACAAAATTGGAAATGAAAAAATCTTTCTAAGCCTAGATCTAAGCATCTCACCAAAATGAACGGTCTATGTTAATTGGGCTAAAAAAATACTTTCTAGGTTTTTTTTTCAATTTTTCCTTTTTTGTGATTGCTCATTAGATTGAAAAGAATGTAATTCAAAATTTGGATCAAACAAATGGCCATAACATGATTTTTTAAAGTTGTTGCATCATATTACTATACAACTGTTGCATGAAATCATTGCTCCAAAAATAATAGAGAACTAAAAGAAAAGAAGGTTTGGTTGGGCTGAATAAGGCTAGTGTTGTCATGGCCTTGCCCCTAGTTTGGAACTCAAGCCACATTTTGTGGACATGACCTAGTTTGTTAGAGTTGAGTTGATTGGGCTATCTGGCCAATTGCCACCCTTAGGTAAAATAGTGAAAACCATTGAATTGATTTTTCAAGTAATGGCATAGGAGGCAATGTGTTGAGCAGCCCGGCCAAGAGTTGCTGGCCACAAAATGTGACACAAGGCTTGTGCTTATTTGAAATACGGATTTAGTGTTTAGGTTGAACTACGTTACAAGTTGAAAGTAATGAAAAAAGATAAGAAGACTTATGGTCTCATTGAAATCGTGACTTTTAACAGAATAGACTGACTAACCAGGATTTGTGTAGCCGACCACAATTAATTGAAAAAAAAAAATGATGATGTTCTGATGCCTGGGTGTGGCCTTGTCACTGAAGTCATGGCTTAACCCTACATTTGCTTTTAGTTTTTAACTAAAACTGTTCTAACATCTACATAATCTGACTCACCTAGTCCAAAAATAATGCAGGTCTAGACCACCCTTTGGCTCAATTCTAGACTAGACCTCTAGGGCTCAAGCCAAATTTTGGCCACCCCATTTCCACCCTTAAATGGTAAGGTCATCTCTGTTGGCTTGGGGCTTCACTTTCTTGATTAAGCGCCTCTTTCTCACCCTTGCACATAATAAGAATTTCTCTTATCACGATGCCTTTTCTCTCTAAAATCAAGGGACGGGGTTAAATATCTTTTTGACTCTCAATCAAGGCTTTCTCTCTAAGTGTCTTCCCTTATAAGATCTTTAAGGCTCCTTAACTCTCACAAGTAGGGGTGGCAATGGGTCAGATCCGGCTAGACCTAGACCCAGACTTGAATAGTATTCGGGTTTAGGTTTTGGACCCGAATTTGATCTTTCGAGTCTAAAATTTAGACCTATACCTGGACCTGAGGTCGGGTCTAACCATCGGAGTCTCAGATTTGGTTGAGTCCATTACCACCCTATGACTATCATATACCCATACTACATATTATTGGCAACATTTACATTGTTATGCAACATTTATGAATATCAACATATATGCACATTCTTTATTGTTTTACGTAATAACGAGAAATTCCTAAGAAGCAAATGTATTGACAACATTTATGAATACCTACAAATACTCATATTGTTCGGGTCGGGTCTACGTCAGGTCCGACTGAACCTGGACCCGAATAATATTTAGGTCCAAGTTTTTGACCTAGACCCGACCTATTATTATTCGGGTCGGGTCTCTCTCATAGAAATCAAATTCTCGAGTAAAAGAGTTTATGGATTTTATTGCGAACCAAATGTGGGAAACTAATTTTTTTAAAAAATAATTTCTACGAAACGTGCCCTAAGTTCTCTCTTGTACCTCTCTATTTTCAAGGTATCCCTGTGAAAAATGACAAACCCCAATAAACCCTCAAAATTAGGGTAAAGTATGATTTCTTTTGAGAATAATTTGGACTTAGGGTTTTGCTTACGCGTTGTTGAAATGCATGCCCAAGAACCTCCTAACCGATGCAAGTTGTGAAAGGACAGGAATGGGTTCTATTGGTTCTCATCTTTTAGAGAGAGAAAGAGATGGCGGTTCATTGGTTTCAAACCATATTTTAGAGAGAGAGGGGATCGACAAACATTTGACTAATGATAAACGTGGCAATAAGAATTTATGCTTTGTTGGGAGAGGAAGTTTCTAGCCATTTTGGTAAGTGTCCTTGTCAATATGAGGTGAGCACTTTGAAGATCAATTGTTACATTTAAATAAAATTTTAACTAACAAAAACTATTTGTGGGGAGATAGAGGAATTGGCCATGGAATTCCTTTAAAAACAAATTTAGAATAAGATACTTTATTTTTGGTAAAGAAACATTTATAATTAGTCTTAACTGTGTGGTATCGGTTGCTTTACAATCACTTTTAATTGTTAGACATGAAATCAGGCGATTGGATAACTTGGGTTACTTGTGACCATTGTGTCTGAAAGGTGAGAGTGTGTCTGAAAGGTGGTAGTTTTGTTGTCTAACATTTGAGAATCTAAAGTGACTCTAAAGGGAGACTTTATATAAGTTTTTGTGTGTGTGTGTGTGCCTGGACTTGTCCGATAAGGAAGATCCATGAAGGCACGAACAAAAAACATCGCATATGGCATATGACGATGGAGAAGATGGTATTGATAGGGTTTCAGGAGAGAGGGATCGGCATTTTAAATATCGAGATCTTAGTCATGATGATCGACGTGAATGATATAAATTTACATATAGTAGTGTCAAAAATGTCAACTTCAAGATTGACATTTTAGACATGAAGATCAGAACATGGTATCAATAAGGAGGAAATAAGATTTCATGTGATATTATGTATTTTTGTAGCAAGATATCAATAATAAAAAGATCGAAATGAAATGTCTAATTGGTTAAACTTAGTGTTAAACACGATTGTATCATTATCATCATCATCATCATTATCATTCAAGCCTTATCCCAATTATTTGGGGTCAGCTATATGAATCATGTTCCTCCATTATTCTCAATATGGATTCAAGTTTTGATGATAAGACATGGTAAATTTTTACACTGGCTGCCTACTAAACGCAATCCGCCTCTTTACCCAGGTTTGGAACGGGTTAATAAAAAGTTTAATGTCTTAACCCTTATTAGACTAGTGTGTCATCTGTATATTATACAATATAAAAAATGTATCAACATATGCATGATATATACACTATTTAACATTTTACAACATTTGTAGCTATTCCGACTATGTGTCTTTTCATAGGTATTTTGAAATAAAATCAAACAATATACAATAATATTAAATGGAAAGCCCTACACAATACCTATAGGTAGAAATGAACGATATTTTCACCTATAGGTTCGCCACCGTCTGATTTTTTTGAACGGTGGGGAAAAATTGACCACCACAAACATACTATCTCTGTTACAGTACCACCATAAACATAGTAGGTCTGTTGCGGTCAATTTTTCATGCTAAACCGCAATGGACACACATCATGTCTGTTGTGGGGGCGAAAACACTAATTTACTTTGCCTATATGCCTTAGAAAGTGTTCTTCATATTAAATAGATTATATCTCACAAGTATTTTGATAAATTTCCCATGACATAAACACGCAGGTCCACCTTACATACGTTACATGATCTAAGACCCCAGCTTCATTAGTAAGCCAAATTGGTTGGAACCTGGCAGTTGGCATGAGATTTCCGTTAGCGTCGATGCCAATTTCACCTCTCTCTCACTAAATAAATTAGTGTTCCCCTTAGGTGTTCCACAAGTTGCAATAAACAATGTCTTTTAATTGCACTGTCGGGTCCACTTAGAGGGACCACGAATCAGGACGCATGCGCAGTGCTTCACAAAATTATTGCATAATAATGTGCATTAAAATGTATATAGAATGATATTATAATGTAATGTATTTTCTTAAACGTACATCATAACGTAATGTTGTATGCTTATTTACATAAATTAAGCACACATGTAATATTGTATGCTTAAATAATAAAAATTACAATGTGGTGCAATTATTAATGTTGGATTCCCTTAATTATTAACGATGGTGGTTGAATTTTCTTATTAATGAGCGTTTGATGGATCAGTGGCGTGGATTGTCCACCCATATCTGATTGCAGATTCAAAACGGTTGGAATTGAGAATCTAGAAATATATAATATCACTAAAAGTAAAGAAGAACAAATTAGGAAAGGAGGGATTTTAGAGTGGACCTGGCCCATACTAATTCCTTTATGAAATTGGTTCGGTCTCGGCCGATTCTTGGTCTTGATAGATCGACTCCCCACCCATATGTATTCTTTAAATCACTGAATAATACACGAACACATGATATGGCAAGAAAATTTTTCATAAAAAAAAATGATAATATTTGGACAATTTCGTGGAGGTGTAAAAAGAGAAAAGGAATTTTTGATGAAGGAGACAAAAATAAATAAGGAAAATTTATGTATGTACCGTTATTACGGTCTAGCCCCAAAACATGAGGAGGTCCTCGCTCCCCTTTTTTTT